GGTGTTGCGCTACTTGTGCAGTACGTCGGGCATGGGGCTAGTGCTTGGAGGGCGCAGTCCAGTGGTCCTCACTGGGCACGCGGACGCTTCTTGGGCTGACGACCAGGCTACGCAGCGGTCGTCACAGGGTTACACCTTCAGCCTTGGTTCCGGCTCTGTTTCGTGGCGGGCTACCCGCTCGTCTTCTGTTCTCGGCTCCAGTTGTGAGGCTGAGATCTACGCCGGGGCTATGGCTGCCCAGGAGCTTCGCTGGCTCACCTACCTGCTGACCGACCTTGGAGAGCCGCCGCGTTCTCCTCCAGTCCTGTACGTAGACAACAAGGCCATGCTGGCCTTGTGTCGAGAGCAGCGACTGTAGCACAGGACAAAGCACATTGCTCTCCGCTACTTTCTTGCTCGTGAGCTACAGCAGCGTGGACAGTTGCGACTTGCGTACGTGGCCTCTGAGGCCAACACTGCTGATGTCTTCACCAAGGCACTTGCGCCTTGTGATCATCAGCGTTGCTGCACGCAGTTGGGTCTTGTGCCTGTCTTGCCTCACTTGCTCACTTCTTGACCTTGCTTGTACCTTCACCTATATATACTCTTGCTCTTGCTTGCTTGACTCTTGTATATCTCTATATGTGATCTTGCATGTGAACTGGCCTTCTAGCCTTTGAACTTGTGCTCGGAATGTGTGGTGACTTTGTGATCCACCCTGAGCTTTGCTTTGCTTTGCTTGACTGGTCTTGTGACCCCTTGTTCTCCCCCACTTTGCCTATGGGGGTGTGTCAGAACATTATAGCTTATGCTGTTGTGTAGGCTATAGTGGGGTATCCCATAGGGGGTACAACCCAATTAGGGTTTCATATATGTACTCACTTCATTCATAGTTCATTCATTCTCGTTCACTTCTTCTCATCCACTTGCACTTCCATCACATGTGCCACCTGTTTACCGATCTAAACACTGTCCCAAAACGTGCTCGACACCTCGTACCCTCACGCAGCACCAGAAAACATGCAAAGCCGCCGCCGATAAGCACAAGTCTCAAATAGAAGCTCAACTCATTCCCGTTCCTTTAGCCAGAGAACACCCCCACCAAGACATAGCAGAAGACACATGGCAAGCCTTATCTTCATGACCATGGGACATATTTTTTACGATTGAGTATGCTTCACCAGTACTTCTACGCAGGATTCCAAATCGATCTCAAATACCAGTCTCAGAAGCTCTTCTTCCCATGCTACAGCGATTAGCAGACGATCCTCTAGACGAAGGTGCAGCCTTCCTACTCATCGCATTCCCACGATTAGTCCTTCGCAAACCTAACACTGATATTCTTATCTCTCAAGCGAAGTCTTGCACTGACCATGCAAACAGATTCTCAAAAGGAGAATGGCTCAAACTTTTCCAAGAGACCCTAGCCTCTTATACCCCCGCAACGCATCCTGCTAGCATCATATCAGCGCGCTCAACCTCACAGGATACGGTAGCATTTCTCCTGTAGACAGCGCTCGCATTCAGCGTACACTTCGATTTGCTTCAGTAGGAGAATGTTCCCGCGCTTGCTCAGCACTTCAGGCCGGAGAACTAGCGGCCCCAACCACCGACACGCTAGACAGGCTTTAGGCCAAGCATCCCCCAGCATCTCAACCAATCCCTCCCTGGGTGAACTCCTTTACCCCGATGGAGTACCCTCAACTTCCATTACATATTCTCCAGCAAGTCATTCACACCATGGCCAGAGGGACAGCCCCTGGTCACTCAGGGTGGATGACCGAACACCTTCGCAATACGTTCTTAGCTCACCCCTCTTACCTACCCCTCCTACAGAAAGTCCTCAATAACTGGCTTGCCGGACAGTTACCTCCACGGGTTTGCCCTTATCTCACCGCTTCAACTCTCATTGCTCTTAGAAAATCGAATAGTGACGTCTGCCTGATCGCTATTGGCGAAGTCCTCGTACGCCTCCTCTCTCGTTGCATCACACTCATGTTCAAACCCCAGATGCAATCGCATTTCTTACCTGACCTCCAGCTAGGAGTAGGCACACCAGCCGGAATCAATGCGCTGATCTTTGGTATCCGTTCCGCCTTAGAACTCCACTCAGACTGGGCAATTCTTAATATCGACGTAGCTAATGCGTTTAACTGTTCACACCGTTCCGATATTTTCGAGGCACTTCAAACATCCGACTTCTCCTCTCTCATTCCTTTCTTTCGATTATTCTACGTCACACCCTCACCACTCCTTTTCCACTCCGGACCGCTCCTACGCCAACTCATGTCTGAACGCGGCGTGCGTCAAGGGGATCCTTGCGGACCCTTCTTATACGCACTCACGCAGCAACTAGCCATTCGACCTCGTCGTACAGCATTTCCCCAGATCCTATGCATGTCATACGCTGACAACACTTGTCTTCTTGGCCCTTCCCACCGCCTAGTCACAGCATTCACCACCTTACAACAGAATTTCAGCGGCCTAGGCCTCACAGTGTAGCCAGCCAAATGCCAAGCTTGGACCCCATAGGGCTGGCCAGAGACTCTTTAGCTCCCTCCAGGCATCATCGTGCAAGAATTGGCATTGTAGTCGCACGCGTTCGAATAGGGGAGCTCGATTACGTCACCAAACAAGTCAAACAACGCCTTGCTTCCCTTCGATCAGTAGCACCATGGCTTCCTCGACTAGAAAACCCACAGATAGCTGCTCATTTACTAGCAGTCTGTATTTCAGCCAAGCCCTCCTACCTCTTACGCGCAGTACCACCCACAGACGATATACTTGCACAGTACAGCGACTGGGACGACCACCTTCTTGTCAGTAGATCTGCACTGTGGATGCCCGATTGATCCTGGAGAGGGTTACAGGCGCGTTCGCCTGGGGGGTTATGGGCGCACTTACCCGCTACTGAAACAAGCCCTTTTATCCCAATGGTCTAGTGGTTGGGATTCTGACATGGTATCAGAGCGGTCTCGGGTTCGTTTCCCGGTGTATGGACATGTAGGCCGTTGCCGCTATGCTTAGTCCTGGGCCTCCCAGTGTGGGGGGGTGTCAGTAGATCTGCACTGTGGATGCCCGATTGATCCTGGAGAGGGTTACAGGCGCGTTCGCCTGGGGGGTTATGGGCGCACTTACCCGCTACTGAAACAAGCCCTTTTATCCCAATGGTCTAGTGGTTGGGATTCTGACACTTCTCGACACTCTTATCTCCCTTTTCCCTCCTAACTGCTGGGACCTAGATACCACTGAGGGACAGTTCGCGAGACAATAGGCGTTTCTCCCAATTCGCATGGGAGGTTTCGGTTTACGCAGCGCAAAACAACACGCGTCTCTCAGTTACATTTGCAGCTGGGCACAAGCCATACCCGTGCTCGCACCAAACTACAAGGTCGACGGAGACAATTTTTTGCACCCTTTCATCGCATCTGACAACCTAGAATGCTTAGATTCTGTAGCACCTCGCGCTCTTGCTTCTCTCCCGACCAATCTACGACATTTAGTTCCACCATGGTCTGCTTTCCTAGCTGGTTACCCTAACCACCTTTTCTCAGCCCTAGCCCAGCGTATCTCAGCACGTGCAGCCGAACAGCTACGTTCAGCGGCAAGCAAACGCCACCAGTTGGTCCGTTTAACCTCCCTTCAGGATCCACCAGCCGGCACCTGGCTCACCGCTGTACCCTCCACACCTCGCTTACAACTCGACACATCAGACTGGCTCATAGCTGCGGAGATACGTTTAGGACTACCCATTCCCCACCTCCGCCTCCTTGAATCCGCAGCACCATGCTCCTGCGGACATCAGTACTCTGACCCTACTCTCCCTAGCCATGCCCTTCGCTGCCCCGACCTACATGAGCCCACTCGAGTTCATGATGCTGTCAAACACGAGATCGCCAGGATAGCACGCGAAGTAGGATTTACGATTCGTATTGAAGACCCTACCTTGCTACCTGACCATATTCTGGATGTCAGCTGCCTTGACCCATGTGCAGGCATCAAATGGGCTCTTGACATCTCAATCATCGACCCACAGCAGTAGAGGGCACCGGCAATGGCAACCCACACCATTGGTCTTTCAGCCAAACAGAGAGAATCAGAGAAGAGACACGCCTATGCTCGTGCTCTTCACGACCGACCTGCAGTCAAACTCCTGCCTCTAACATTGGAAACTTTTGGTTGCCTCGGACCGGCCTTCAAGACCTTCCTTCGTGACTGTAGCCGTCGTGCAACCGCTCGACGCGTGGACCGTGGTGCAGCAGATACCCTTCTTACAGGAGCATTCGAGACGTCATTTCTCTTACGCATATCGATGGCGTTGCAACGTGCCCAAGCTAGATCCATTATTCATAGGGTAGAAACAGCCTTCCCATCCTCCTCTGACTCCACTTCCACAGAGGACCCCTCTTTCTCCGACTTCCCGGCCTTCAACAATGACATCCCCGACCTCGCGTACCTCTTCAGCCCCCTTGCGTGAGGGGGTCGGTATATAAACGGAGTGATATAATTTAGTACAGACGTTGAGGTATATGAGTATACTTCTACTTAGTTTCTAGCTAGTATCTTTTTGATGCGCTTTTACATACATCTATCTCTCTTAGATTCACTCCCCCTAGCAAATCATATATAAGTACATCTTGTATATATAAACTATGTAAATTAAGAATGGTTTGATTCTAACGCAGAGTCCAGCGGGTGTGGGATCGACTCTTGCGAGAGGATTGTCGAGCTTCTTTGTTTTCCCTTAGGTTATCACACAGAAGTATCCTCGCTGTCTGGAAACTCGTACGAAATATAACCTGTGTTCTGAAAACACATATGAGTATAAACGCCTTATCTAGGCTATCATATGAGCCGCGTTCTTTTGTCTGCGAGAACATACGAACAACAAAAAATGCGACTGAAATCTTGACCAACAGACTAAATTAGTCTGATAACGAGAGCCCTGAGCCCCATCCCTGTTAGTACCAATTCAGTTATTCCTTAAACAGGTTAGTCAAGTGTAGTCACACACACCCAAGCTAGGCCCATAACCAGCGGTGGCATTCAAAGCATGCCATCCAGGGCCGCTTCACTGCACGGCGCAGAGTAGCGGTTCTAGAGGCAGCAGCAACGGGGACGGCATCACGGGAGAATGGAAACTCAGTGGTAGAAGCAGCAGCAGCAGAGAGGGCGGCGGTTTCGAAAGCAGGAAAAGGAGTCTGCGAAGCAGGAGGAGGGGTGGCGAGGGATGAGAGGTTGGGCGGGGTTGCTGGGAGGCAGCAGCGAGCATTGGGGGCGAGGAACGCCATCACGCACTCCTCGTACGACAGCCCCCCGAATGCCAGTGCCGCTGCTCCTACGCCCTCCGAGCGCTGCTGCTGCTGCTGCTTGAAATCCTGGCAGAGCAGTGGCTGACTATGGCCGTCCAATGGAATAAGGGGACGGGAAAATGCAGCAGCTCCCAGGTGCTTTCGAAGGAAGTTCTGGTGAAAGCGGTCTGTGAACTTCCTGCCATCACCGCACGGCCGCAAGAGAAAGAGAGAGAGAGAGAGAGAGAGAGAGAGAGAGAGAGAGAGAGAGAGAGAGAGAGAGAGAGAGAGAGAGAGAGAGAGAGAGAGAGAGAGAGAGAGGACTTAGCACCCAGCCCTCTTCCTCTTCCCTCGGCCCTCTTCCTCTGAGCCTATTTAAGGGCCCTTGGTGCCTTCTTCTCCTCATTATTTCGTGTGTTCTCAGTTTTCCGCGGGTGGAGAGAGCGAGAGAGAGAGAGAGAGGACTTAGCACCCAGCCCTCTTCCTCTTCCCTCGGCCCTCTTCCTCTGAGCCTATTTAAAGGCCCTTGGTGCCTTCTTCTCCTCATTATTTCGTGTGTTCTCAGTTTTCCGCGGCTCGCGCCGGCGGCCTTCGGCCGCGCGTTTCTGGTGGCAAGACACAAAACGGAGGATCGGCTTATATAGGGAACACACACACACAAAGGCAAGGAGCTGGGCAGGAGCAAGAGGCGCGGCATGCAATTCTACACACGGCGGAGGCCTACATCGTGTACGGTTCCGCCCCCTCCACCTCAAGCATCGAGCGCATGCACGCCGACAACGCAAGAAGGAGATGCGCCGACGACTGGAGCGTGTCCAAGGGGGTCCCGGCTTGAGCAGCCCCTACAAGATCCCCCACGTGGCGGGGGAAAGTACGGGCTAAGGGAGCTACCCCGGCGGGCGCGTCCGACACGGGTGCCAACGGCGACTCGAGTGATTCTGCCAAAGTCACGCAGGATCCTCGAGTCCCTGGACCAAAACTGCTCGGAAAGCTCCTCGTGGCCCCACACACCGCCAGCTGCAAGTTCGCCTCCACCTCGCACGCCTCCGCCAGATTCAGAACCCGGCACATGGTCAGCATGGGGTCTCTCCCCGCGCGAGTGGGGAGAGGTGCAGTCTGCGCTTCGTGCAGAAACGCCGCCGGCCAGCCAGGAGTCCGGCCAACAGCCAAGCGCGGCGCAGAGAAGCCGGGAACCTGACGGGGGGTGCGGAACTGAGCCCTCCCCTCACGCGTGGGCTGATACTCGCGCAGCGTCGGCGCACGCAGAGGAGCGACCTGGCCTGGGTCCGCGGCGATGGGGGGACCGTTGGTCACCTCAATATGGACGTGAGTCGGCGCCCCACTCGCCCGGGCCTGCCTCACCACCTCCACGAACGTGTCCGCAGCATGATCGAGGGCTGGATCAGGCTGGTTGCCATTCCCGCCTCGCCCTCCGCCCTTCCGCCAGCCCCGCCGTCCCCCGGAACCAGCCGAATGTGGACGCGGGGGGGACTGCTCGCGGCGACCCGAATCCCAGCGACGACCAGGCGACCCCCTCCCCCGCGTCGCCGGAGATCGCCGAGGAGAACGTTGCGCGGGGGATCGCGCTCGCGGTGAGCGCTGGCCTGCCTGACCACGAGGGGATGGGCGGCGAGGGGAGCGAGGACGTGCAGGAGAACGCTTACCCCCCTCCCCGCGCTGATAGTGCTCGCGACGCTCAGGAGAAGGGCGGCGAGGAGAGGGCGGCTGTTGAGGGTGCCGCAGAGGCGAGCACCCGCGCTCCTGCCGCGGCTCACCGTCCGGGCGGTTCGACGCAACACGAGCAGGCGCCCACGAATACTCTGGCGAGGCGGGGCGCGCGGCAAGACGATGGGGAAGCGTTTGAACCCGCTCAAAGTGGTGCACGGGCTCGCTCGCGGAGGGGTGCGCAGGGAGACGCGGACGAGGCCCGGCAGGCGCAGGCTGCGGTAGCGAGCTCTCCGGATGGGTCCATCACCCCCGATCTTACCGCAGCCGACGCCAGTGCAGCGACGAAGCGAAAACGAGACGGCCGCGGCGCCGCAGACAGGGCGCGGGGGAGCTACTGTGGGACGAGCAACGCGGGGAATCCGCGTAGGACGCGGCAGCCGCCGCGGACGACGAGGCAACGAGAGAGGACGAAGAGGTGGTGGAGCACGAGGTTCGAACAGGCGCCGATCTGGTGCAAGCGGCTACGCGAGGAATGTGGAAAGGCTGATGCGAAACGGCGCGGAGGGCGACGTGGAACCACTTAGCGAGGAAGCAGAGGAGGAAGCGGAGAATGAGGAAAGTAAAGAGGGGGACCCTGCCTTTAACCCTGAAAGCGAGGGGATGTTAGAAGCAGAGGCCGAGGAGGACGAGGAAGAGTTGGAGCTGCTGCGGGAAGCGGAGCTCCCAAACCAGCAGGCCAGAGGTGAACCTGCAAACCGAACCTCAGCTCGGAATCGAACCGCGGGGGGAATTCAAGCAAGGAGGGGAAATCGAGCCGCTCCAGAAGAAAGAATTGACTCTGCAACAGCCAATGAAAATTCCGCAGCCCCGAGTCCAACCCCCCCGATGCTCAAACCTGACGACCTGGCGAAAAACTCTGAGCTATTCGCTCAGGTTGCAGTCTGGGACCTCGACCCGCTGCGTGACAGTCGCCAACCTCCTCTCGCTCGCCACCCCCCCAAAGACCTTCGCGACTCCTTCGCGATCTGTATGTTGACGCTGTTACTCCACCTGGCGGCCAATCCCGAGTCTGCGCCAGGATGGAAACTACTGACCTTTCTCCCGCGCATACTCCTTCGCACCTCGTCAGCCCGTAAACCTGACTGGAGCGCGATGATGAATCGGCTCCTGCGATTTCGCCAAGGGCTCTGGGCGGACCTATACGAAGAAGCTGTCCAGGCGATTTCCTTGCCTCCGCAGCCTCGGCACTCACTCGACACAACTGGAATACTGGCACGGGCGGAAGGTATGGCAAAACGGGGTAACCTGTCAAAATCACTCCAATCCCTCCAGGCCACCCCTGTGTCACCTGCGTCACCTGAAGTGCTGGAAGCCCTCGCGACGAGACATCCACCTGCCAGCCAGCTTCTCCCTGAATGGCTCCACACCGCCTCAGCTGAAGACCCACCCACTATCGAAGCCCGCGACTTCAGGCGCCTCCTCGCCAAGCTCCCCAACGGAGTCGGGGCCGGCCCCTCAGGAACCACTTTCGAGCATATCCGCGACGCAGCCCTAGGGAATGCTGAAGTACTCTCCCACCTCCTCGCCCTCTCCAACACAGCTCTAGCAGGGAAACTCCCAACAGCCGCGGGGGATCTTCTCACGGCCTCCCGCCTGCTAGCCTTTACGAAACCCCAAGGAGGGACGCGGCCAATAGCGGTGGGGGAGTGTCTCCTCCGGATTATAGCAAAGGCCACCCTCTTCCTGACCGCGCCAGCCGCCCGTACTCACTTTGCCCCCCTTCAATTCGGCGTGGCAGTAGCAGGGGGGATCGAAGCGGCTATCCACACCGCTCGCACGTACCTGGAAGTGCACCCTGCTGCAGTGGCCTTGCAGATCGACCTCGCGAACGCTTTTAACGCGGTCGAAAGGAGAGCGGTGTTCGAAGGACTGAGGAACGAGGCACTGAAGAAGCTGATCCCCCTCGTTCGCCTATCCTACGGGGCTCCCTCCTCGCTCTACCTCGACCACGACTTCGGCGCAGCCCCGCTGCAGAGCGCCAGAGGAGTTCGCCAAGGGGACCCGCTCGGCCCCCTCCTGTTCGCGGCAAGCATCCACCCGTGCCTCATTGCCACGGCGGCGGCACACCCTCAGGTGGTCCTGCTAGCGTACGCCGATGACATCACGCTGCTCGGCGACGCCTCGGCCTGCACAGCAGCTTTCGACCACCTCACATCCGCACTTGCCGCCCTCGGCCTGGTACACAACCCGGCCAAATGCGCGGCGTGGTCCGCCGCTCCAATCGACCCCTCTGCAGTGCCCCCGGGAATTACTATCTCTGATGAGGGACTGTAGATTCTCGGCAGCCCGGTTGGCACACCCCGGGGGTGCACGGGCGCCGTGAGAGAGAGACTGGCAGTAGCAGCATCCCCACTCCCCCTGCTGGCCCAGATGGACCCCCAGCTTAGCCTCCTCCTCCTCACCCGCTGTGTCGGCCGTCGAGCCTCTTTTCTGGCCAGAACCACCCCCCTGGAAGCTCTCCCTGAAGCGGAATGGTCAGCTTGGGGGGAGCAGCTCCTACACACCTTCCTGGACTCGGCCCACATCATGAGACCGAGGAGTGCCCGGGAGAGGCGGAGGATTTGGCGGCAGGCGGCCCTGCCCGTGACTCTAGGAGGCCTGGGCATCACTGACCCCGCCGTTGAAGGCAGCTATGCTTACCTCGCTTCAGTGATCAGCGCCGCCCACCTTCTATACTCCCTGGAGGAGTCGTTACACCCTGCTGTCGCCGCGCTCCTCCCCCTACTGGACCCTACCCACGGCTCCCCGCACGCGCTGCCTGCACGCCTCGCCGCGGCTGAGGCAGCTCTCCCACCCGAGGCCCTCGAGGTGCTCCAGGCCGGGAAGACAGACCCCAAGGGACTGAAGCTACAGCAGAGCCTAGCGCTGGCGGTTCACTCCCGCCGCTTCTTGAGGGCCATGCGCGAGGCAAGGCGGATGCGCCCCAACCCCCTTTCAGGCCATGCGCAACGGATGCAGTCGGTGCTAGGCCCAGGAGCGCGGGATTGGCTGCTGGCGATCCCGCTCATCCCCTCGCTCCGAATGGGCCCCTCCCAGCTCTCAACTGCAGCTGCCTTCCGCCTAGGCCTCCCCCTCCCAGTGCCTAGACGCTGTGACTGCCGCTACCGCACCACCTTCCCCGACGACCGCCTCCCCAACCACCTCATGCGCTTCGAGAAGGGGAAAGGGAGGACCGCTACCCATCACGCTCTGCGGGATGAGATAGCAAATATCGGGGCTGAGGCGGGTTTCACGGTTCATAAGGAGACGTATGTCTACTCACTGGTTGAAAACCTAAAGGCGGATGTCACCATCCGTCATCCACTGACCGGGGAGGTTTGGATGTGCGACGTGACCGTGACGGACCCGATGTCATACCAGGACGAGAACTGCAACCGAGCTCCTGGTTGGGCAGCTAGGGTGGCAGCGGCAAAAAAGGAGGAGAAGTACGCACGGTGGAACACGTGGGTGGGGTTCCACGCGCTCGCAGTGGAAACATACGGCTACCCCTCACCGGGGGTGCTGGCTTACCTGCGGCAATGCGCGGAGCTGGCGGCAAAGCTGCGGTTTAACGCAGCCCCTACCTCCTACGAAGCAGCAAAGCTTCTGACGGAGTACCGCCAGCGTTGGAGCGTGTGCCTCCAGCAGGCACAGGCCAACGCCCTCCGCACCAAGACCAATGAGGCCTTGGCGGCGGACGAGCTCGGTTTTAGAGGACCCATCATCCCTCTCAGTGAGGGACAGCTGCACCAGTTGATTGAGGCCCCGTTCGACCAGTAGGGTCGGACAGGGGGGGGGGGGCAGAGTAGGTAGGAGACTTGGAATAGTTAGGATGCCGGTTTTCTGTTGAGCTTGTGCTTGTGTGTTTTGCACCTTCCGTGTACCACCCCCCAAAGAAATGCAAGGACCATTCGAGAGAGAGAGACGAGTACGCGCGCAAGGCCCCCGGGTGGGCGGCTAGGATGCAAGCGGACAAAAAGGAGACAAAGTACGCCGGGCGGAGCCCATGGGTGGGCTTCTACGCCATGGCCGTGGAGACCTATGGCTACCCCTCACCTGGAGTCTTGGATTTCCTTCGCAGCTGCGCGGAGCTAGCGGCAAAGCGGCGGTTTAACGCCTCCCCAAAGTCGAGGGAGGTGGCGAAACTACTTACCGAGTACCGCCAGCGATGGAGCGTGACCCTGCAGATAATACGACGGACCGTTCGAGAGAGAGAGAGAGAGAGAGAGAGAGAGAGAGAGAGAGAGAGAGAGAGAGAGAGAGAGAGAGAGAGAGGGGGTGGGGGGGGGGGGGGAGGGTTTAGAAAGGTTGAGGAGTATCAGGACGCCTGAGCCAAATGAATTATGAATGCGGCATGCAGGGTTATTACCTTCGGAGGAAGATGTAACGGTTACAGCACGACTTGTTGCTCCCCTTGAGATGACCGCTCCTCTTCAGCTCGCCCCACTGCTTCGTGCCACACTGCAGCGCGTGGCGCAGCAGCACCGCGTCCTCCTGCGCAGTCGACGCGGAGCGGAGAAAACGACAGCGTGAGTGCGGCGTTCAGCATTGAGTGTGGAAGTGCGCGGCTCAAAACGTGTCCTGATGCACTAAGGAAGTACTATCCCACCGACATCATAACAAGGAAGGACTTGCAAAGATTGAATCCTGAATCCCCTTGTCAACCTGAACTCTAAAATCGGAGCAACTTAAAATTCTCCACTGTATGCTCTTCTCGCAACCCACCTCTCGCGTCCATGATGGCTGCATGCCGGGCGACGCGGATTGCGAGTCAACGGCTTCAGAGGAATGCGACATGGCGGCCAGGCAACTGACGAAAGCATGACTCCGAGCCTTGCAAGTATGTATCTCTCTTCAACGGAATGACCCAGAAAGACCCAGGCTTGCCAAGCCCCCGGGCTGGGGATCAATCAAACCCCCGGGCTGTGTGGGCCTTGCCGCCTCGGGCGACGGGGCTTCGTCCTGGCCGAGAAATGCCTTCTCGCCGCAGTTCCATTCCACCTCAAACGCGCTCAGCCAGCGACTCGCGTCGCGTGGCAGGAGTGTGCAACGGGCGGGAGCCTCCCGTCCAGTCCCGTCACAGGAGGGCAGGTGGAAAGCGGGTGATGCGTGGGCGAGGATGACGTCACAAATGTGTGGACCAGTGGACTGACGAGAAGGGTACCCCTAGTGATCATTGCACAATCTTGGAGGGAATCATTACACCCGCCTAGTTGTAGCCGGTTTTCCGGCATTCTCGCTCTCACGCCCTCCAACAGGAATGGG